CTGGCTTGACCCTGTAAAAGGTCCTACTTTGGAGTATTAACAGGTTTCTTTGTGTGTTTGTGTGGGAGAGAGACAGAATTTGTATTTATTTTTTTGATAAAACTCAGATTTTAGAGGCACGCGGCTTACGTTTGGGCTTGAAGGAGATGCCTGCTGGAGACAGTGAGAGCTTCATTCTTGCTAGCTGGTAGGAAGCCAAAGCTGGGGGAGAGTCAGGCTGATTCTCCAAGCAGCCCTGTCAGCCCTGTTCAAGCAACTAGTTCAGCTTCTTGGAAAACCACAGCCTAAGGGTTACACAGGTAGTCCAGCAGCAGTGATAAGAAAACAGCTCTGGGTTCCTTGTACAGCTTTATTATAAAACATTTAAGTACCCTGCTATTGAGGAAGGGAAACCTGTGTGTGCTCTGGGAGTCAGAATCTGTTTATTTTTTATGCACACTACAAAATGCAAACAAGGGGAGCTTTGAAGAAGCATTCATAGTTTCTTGAAGAAGAAAGCATTATTGAAAGACAGTTTGTTGGGGTTAAACACTCACGTTCTGCAGGTAAACCCAGGTTTATAATTTTCAGTAGCCTTAAGGATAGTTAACCGAGCTGCGTTTGACTTTCCTACCTTGGAGAAGAGGGAACTCCCTAACCACCAACAAATGCAAAGGTGCTGTTAACTCTTTCAAACAACCCTTAGGAGCCCCCACAAAAAAAATGACAATAAGAAAAATTCCTCAGGAGAGGTGAGAGCTGGGTGTTCAGTAATGGGTGGCAACAGCTGGTTGCAGGGAAGGGCATGAATCAAATCTGTGATTTGACATTGCCATCATAGAGGGGCTTGCTGTAAAGGCAAACTGCAGCTAAACCAGGAGAGCAAGCATATCGCTGGCTGCTGAGCCTCTGTACTTGTCTCCTCTCTCCGGTCAAGTGCCTGTTTTTTCATTACACAGTTGACTCCGGCTGTTTCGTTCAGGCAGAAAGATTGGAGGAGGTGGTCAACGCGGAGGTCCTGGGGCCTTCAGAAGGCAAGGATTAATAGGTTTGCTGCCTTAGAGCTCTGCACCCAAGCCAGCACTGAATAAAGGCTTTTGCTGGCAGCTAGGCAGCCAGGCTGCAAAGGCAGGGGTGCCCAGCCCCTGTGGGGTGCAGGACTGGCCACGCAGGTGGGAACCCCTGAGTCCCACAGCAGCGTAGCCCACACTCCATGTGCAGAGTGTCTGTGGGTGAGCTCGTGGGCTCCCCCGATTCCTGCCCCCGCTGCCTTTTTTGGGGGTCAGCCCAGAGCCCTTCAGCAGGGCGGGCTGCTCTGCCACTGCGGGTCCCCCTTGTCCTCAGATGAGTTGATTCCTTCAGGTTTTAAGGCCTTTTTCGGTGGCGTTACAAGGACAGTACAACCTGCGGGATGCCAAGGCACACATGTTGGGGGCTGGTTTATGAACTTCGGCAGAAAATAATCAAACCTCTGCGTATATCCACCTGCATTTCAAGTATTACGTGGGATCCTTTGACATTTAAAAGCAGCAACAGATCATCTAAGCCTGGTATCTGGAAGCAAGATAGAATCACCTGATTTAAAATCTCTGCCCCATCACTGGATTTATTAATAACACTGCCTTTAGGTAGCAGACAAATGGGTACTCGGCAGTCCTCTGCTCAGCCCTCCTCCCCTTATGGTTTTTCTGCTCTTCTTCCACTATCCCACATCATCATCCCTTTTCTGTCAATTTTCCAACAATGCCTAATTCTATTATTTGGAACGATTTCCCACTGGGCGGTAGTTTATTTCTGTCATCAAATCTCTGATGAAATCTTTAGACACGAAATATTTAGCCCGATACCAACAAATCGCACATAGTGTTAACGTGTCACAAGCTGCCTGGAAACAGCATTAGGCTGTAATTTGAAAGCGAGTGAAGTGATAATGCCATGCGCACTGCTTTTGTGAGCATGCATTAATGCATCTTTTGCCAGGGCTAGTCATTGACAGCAAATCGACTCCCACTAATAGTATGCAGGAGGGTGGCAAAATTGGGGGTGATGCAGAAAATAAAGCATATTGACCAGCCAACTGCAGTGCCTCGGTAGCCTTTAATCTATTATTGCCCTTGATGGGGATGTTTTAATGCAACTTTACTGTCAATCGCATTTATAGTCGCACGCTCTGCCTGCTGGGGAGCACTGTGAAAATGGCAGAACTTGGATCATGCTGTTGCTTAGAGCTCATAGTTATTGATTGTGGCCGGGCTCAGGAGTCTGGGTTATAATTATTTCATTAAACCATTTAGTGGTTATCAAATATGAACCCTTCTACCATTCCATTTAGGAAATGCAGCGAGCTTTAAGTTTTATTGTTAATCCATGTTGATCTTATTTTTCTTAAATTGTCTGATGCTCCCAAGTGGTCGCTGTTCCCCTGCCAAGGCTCTCGTTGTATTGATCCCGGGAGAGCCGCTCCCAGCGACAGCAGCCTCTCACGTGGCACAGGGAGATGGGGTTGTATGTGACTGAGCCTGTGTTAACAGACCATCCCAAATAATAACTAGATGCCCTGGTTTCTTTTATGACCTTTTTTACCACAGGAGTCACTTCCAGGCCGCCACGCTGAAGAAGGCTCTCAGTCTCTTCCCTTACAGAAGACATTTTGTGCCTCAGTTTCCCTGTGCCCCGGTTTCCCATTTGACCAATTGCCTTTTTCCCGCCCCCCCCCCCCCCCCCACTCATTTGGGGTTTATGGATGAAAAGGACCAATTATTACAACCCAAATCCTCCCCTTATTCAGAGACAGGCTGTTCATGCCTGTAAACGAGGGAGGAAATTCCCCTTCCAAAGTGTTTTTATTTTTTTTTATGAGAATGAAAACAATTATGTTGTTTTTCTCATATAACCAGAGTATGACTGCATCCCACTTGGTCCCAAATGTTTGAGGCAGCCTTAGAAGCACGGTAGGCAAAACACAGTCTGTTGCTGTGTCTCTGACACTGAGTATTTGCCTCTCTTCCCTGGGTGTGTTATCCTCGACAAGGCAGCTCAGAGCACCTTGTACTGGTGTAACAGGATTGCACAGGGACACGGCAGAAAGAAGATGATTTGGGGGTGGGCTGCTTTTGGTTCCTGAACCTCTAAAGGTGCAAGAGCTGTTCTGGCACTGCCAGGCACTGTCACTGTGGGCTTTGGGGCTGTTTTTTCTGTTTGTTGAAGTGGTCCAAGTTCTCTGAATTCCTCTTCATTTCACTTTTCCTCCTTGTGAGTGGCAGATCAAATGAGGGTTTAATTCCTGTAACTGGAAAGCCCCATAGGAACCAGAGGAACCGTAGAAATCCTTGGGACTCTCATCAGCTGTCCTAGGACACCCTCCTGCCCTTTTTCGCACTCCAATACCTTTCAAATGTCACACAGACCTCATTAAAATGTGGAAAAACTGGATGAAACCAGGTCTAGGGGGATAGGGAGGTTTTGAGGAACTATCTCAGTGTGCATTTGTATTCTGGATCCACTGAAAGCCTGCATTCGTTGGCACCTTTTCATTAAAACCCTGGATGCTCTGGAAAAGCTCTATCTTAATTTGAACAAACTGATTCCTTTTTTCTGTGGGCAGGCGATACAGTTTCTGCAGAGTCCTTTATCAGTATTCTGTGCTGCCTTCTAGCAGCTGCTCATTTTATGTTGCCTCAACCTATGCTGACCTCATTTTCTATCACAGAGCAGTGAAGGATTTGGTAAAAATTAGTTACATTAGTAGCTCCCGATACAGCCAGTTTATTTGTGATATGACAAATATTTCAGCCATTAGGATCTTTCCATCTCTTAGCAGCTTAAATGCACTCACTTATATTCCAAATCACTGCTTAATTTAAAAGCCTATTTGCCTAGATTGTTGCAGGCATGAAAAAAAATGCAGAACACTTACCCTTTCAAATAGGCCTGTAGCACAACCGGAGTTGTGCCTGTGATTGGATCTCCCACTCCATAACTTTACACTCAGCAAAGGCACAGACTAATCACTTAGTGCACGGCAGAAGCACATCAATTCCACGGAGGACGGGCGGACGCGATGCCGAAGATGCAGAGGCTGGATTGCTGCCTTCTACCCTCCGTGCAGTGACTCACCACCTGTGCCTCAGTTTCCCACAGCCTGGCAGGACAGGTGGGAAGGGATTTGCTGGCTTTCCGGAGCCGCTCAGTCGCCCACCAGTTTGGGAATTCTGTGTGTGCAAGTGGAAGCAAGTCACTGCAGGGCTGGGGAAGGGCAGGAGGGCTGCGAAGCCACCCCTGGCAGTCGGTCAAACAGGCAGCAGATGTGTGCTGCTTTGATACTTGGGGGAGTTTTCATGTTTCCTGTGACTCGAACACTTCTGTAAAGTAAATAAACACACGGTAGTGCTTGATGTCGTCAACCCTGCTGGCCCCTTTTCTTAGTTCTACGGTTCAGGGAGGCAGGGAAGATGCTGGGATGCCCCATCCCCAGTGCTGTGTCTCCTTGAACGCCTCCTAGCCTTCATCTGGGCCATTTCTCCAGGCTTCTTTCCACACCCAGGAGGCCTGAATTCTTCTTTTAGAGACTTGCACGTTTTTGTTTCTTTGTGATAACACTGGGATGTAACTCAAGGGTTGCTTTAAGGAACACACACTGTGTCACAGTAAAATCACAGCGAAATCCTAAGAACTGCTGATACTCCTGCTGTGCGAAAGCAGCCAGATCTGCTGGGCAAGCTGGGCTGCCCTTACTCTCTCCCTCTGTGTATTCCCCTGGGGAATTTTGCAGTTCCCTTTTGATGTTTTTTCTTCCACCCAAAGCTGGGGAGCAAACCCCTGCTTCTCAGCCCTGCCCTGAGTGTCTGCCTGGACAGTGAAAGTCATTACAGGATCAGAGTCTTCTCTGCCTGCTCCTTCCCCAGCTGCAGGAGGAGCTTTCTGTGTCTGTAATGCCTTGGCTTTCACCACTCGGCAGCCTCCAGCTCTGGGACTGGTTCCTCGGCTGGTCTCTAATGGACACGCTTAAATTCATGGGCAGCTAGCAAAAGGGAGCACCGACAAAGCCTTAGTTGTTTTTGTTGAAGGGATGAGCTGTCGTTTAACTGGTTGTGAAGAATCCACAGGTAGGTTGTGTGGTGTGTTTGCTGGCTTTTCTGCCACCCTTCTTTTATTCTCCCTGCAGGTCTGCAAACCTTCCTCCTGCTCCAGGAGCTGCCTGCCTGCCCCTGGATCTCAGCTGACCCTACTGGGTTTAAATACACTAGGCATTTCTGTCCAAATTTTAGGAGATGAGACTCAAAGGCTGAAGTTTATTTGCACAGAAGAAAGGATCCACAGGTTAATCCAGTTAATGTCTGTCTCAGGGGGGTCCATAGAGGGAACCAGGTCCAGATCTTTACCCAGGGACTGTGTCTTATCCCTTTCCCTGGTTTTCCCTAGCCTCCTCCCAGGCAGGTAGCTGGTGTTTCTGGATCACACCTTGCAGCTTTGCAGGGCATTTAGTGCTAGATTTGATGGAGTACAGAGGAATGGGAAGCGAAGGAATTCACCAGTTCTAAAAGGCAATTGCTGAAAGTGTCATTTGCTTTTGAGGGGAGGTTATTTGCTCATGGCGTTAGTCCCTCGGGGTCACAGGCATTGCCTGCTGCTGATAATTCTGCAGAGCATCCTTCATGGTTGTGAAGAAGTAAGAAAAGGAATTTAAAAGTAAAATGCTGCTCACACGCAATTGCTGCTTTTGATGGTGTCAGCTGGGATGCTTGACATCTTTTCTAAAGGTAAATTATCTCTAAAAATGTATGCTGTTTTATCGTAGGTTGTGGCAGGGGATTTTGACTAAAAATAATTATCCTAAAGTAACTCAGTCTTGACAAATTCTGCACGTTTCACAGTTAAGGAGTTATTAAATTGCTAGAAAAAGCCTCACAAAACCAGAGCAAACTTATTCTTGCTTAGTTTCACTATTCAACTTACAAGACTCTAGGAGTTCAAATGCTGATGGAAGTGTATCGATTTTCCCCTATATTGAATGCTTCCAAAAAAAAAATCTCAACAAAAAAACCCAACCCACCTCCCATGATGCAAGTCCCATGGTTCCAATTAAAATCACCTGTTAACTTAAAAAGGTCTCTTTTTAAAAAGGGCTTAAAAGATTTTCATTTAATTGATTCAATGTGAAATGCCCTTTACAATTACCACTATAAACTACTTGTTTCCCACTGAGTAAGACCCAATTTGAGATGTTTATCAAGACTTTGCACTCTTTCCACTCTTCATACTGAGTTCTTAAATTCCTTATTGACAGCTTGCATCTGTCAGCAATGGATATTTTTAGTTTGTTGCAAGAAAGCTTTTAAAAGGTTGTAATGGCTTGATTTTGTCTCTGTGGTCTCAAGCAATAAATCAGCTCTGAATGGCCTCATAAGTGTGGGCAGTGCTGGGTGCCCTTTATTTCAGAACAATAAAATGACATGATTTAACAAATTTCTTCTTTCCTGCCTCTGAGTATTTCCATAAAGGCAGTGTTGTTTAGTGCAAAGATCACACTCCTCATTTTTCTTGACTTTTTTTGTGTCTTACAGTAAACTTCTTCACAACTAATAGATGTTGTGGCACTGATTGGTTTCTGCTGAAGTCTCTATGGCTTTTGTTAGCAGGACTTCTCCAGAATTTTGTCCTTAAAATACTGACCCTCCCCACCCCCTATTTAATTGAGAGGAGTGCAATTTCATTAGAAGACAACAAATTGTTATTTGAATACACTAGACCATTGGACACTTTATTTTTTTCAGCTGGGTAGGGTGAGACAGGCAGAACAGCACTGGTTTTGCAGTGCACAGAGTACGTACATGTCCCCTCACTGTATTTTAGCTCCCAAAGGAGATCAGGGGAGAGTTGATCCATCCAGAAAGCCACCAACTTCTTGTTCCTGTGAGCTGGATGGTTTTACAGTCAGTCACCCCTCCCTGCCCCATACTTTGAGAAGGGGACCCAAAGTGCATCCCCTAGCCTAGGGCAGAGAGGCCACAGAAATTATCTGACCACCCAGGGAGGAAAAACAACTGATGGAGGGAGTCTGGGAGTCTTTGTCTGGGAAAAGGCAGTTTTCCCTTTGGGTTGATGACTTGCAGCACCCTGAGAAATCAAGTCATTACTATAAGAACAGCTCTCTGGGCCCGTGAAATACTAACATTTTAGCAGCAAAACCCCCCTACTTTTCAGTTTTATGCCACAGGACCCTTTGAGTCATCAGGTTTCTTGCAGAGCCAGGCACCAGGGAAGAGTCCTTCTGCAGAGCTGAGCTGGGGATATCCAGGTGGCTGCTGGCAACAGGGTTTTTCGCCAGAAAAAAACAGCAGCTTCTCTGGGTTTGAATTCTCCGGGCAGCAGAGGGAAAGAGATTAATCTCCCTTGCAGACAGCATGGTTTGAATTTAGCAAATACCAATCCTGCTGCTGAGGGGTGCTTTAAACTCAGCTTTCCCTCTGTTAGGCTGAGTCTGCAAAGCTGATGTTTCTCAGCCCCAGGGGTGCAGGGGGCACCCAGAGGCATCTGCCCCCAGCTCTGCAAGGTGCAGCCAGGAGAGGCTTTTCCCCTGTAAATCCATTTGTGTCTGCATTAAAGCAGGTGCTCCCAGCCGGAGGGAAGCGCTGCCATTCGGCAACGCTTGCAACCTGTACCCCTTCCCCTCCGGGTGTAACAGCCTGGCAGTGTAAGTGCAGCCACATCTCCCCTCCTCAAAATGCAGGCTGGCATTTCATGCAGGGGGCTCTGGGGGGGTATCGGCCTCTCCCCAGCATTTTTTGGGGTGTTTGGCTCTAGCTTTTCTGCCCAAATATTATTTAGGTTTAGTGTGTGGGTAGTAAGAGGTTTATTTTCTTTTTATTATCCCTTTGTTACAGAAAAAAAAAAAAAAAGCTGAAATAACATGTTGCCAGCTCCAGGGAGCTGCAAGTAGACAAACAGCAGTGCCTGAGCTCTGCTCTCCTGGGTCTGATGGTGCTTTAAGTCAAGTGGAGATTAAAACCAGGGTAAAAGTTGGAAAAACTGGAACTAGCCTTGCTCTGAAATGTGTGTCCATGTCCTTAACTTTAACCACCCTCTGTTGCCTCTGAGGATGGGAATGAGTATGTGGGTTTGCTCAAGGTGTGCTCACCTTTCCTGATCCACCCTGCACATTCCCAAGCCAAGGATGAAGGCAAATGCTTGCTGCATATACTGGGAACAAGGAGAGACCTGCTGGCAGCCGCAGAGAGTGGGGCATCCCAAAGTAGCTGTAAGAACCATATTTTCCCTTTCCTTTGGGCAGGCTGTGCTTTTTCGGGCTCAGCTGAAAGGGCAGCAGCTCGCTGGCAGTGCAGTGCAGGCTCGCCCTTGCTGCAGGTAACTGGGGGAATAGGGGGGTGCCAGGCTGTGGAGATGTGCAAAAGTGGGGTGAAGCAGGAATGCTGCGCAGGTGACACCTCAACCCCCTGAATCCCTGTTCTATCTCCTTTCTGTGGGTGGGGAAACTGAGGCACGAGGCAATTTTTCACCGTTAAGTGCGAGCAGGGACTTGCTAAGGCTCTGAGCGCAGGTCAGCCAGGATCCCAGGTATTGATCTGAGATCAAACTCTGCCTTTTCTCTCCTTCAAAAAGACCATGTTTGTGCTGCTCAGCAGTAATGCTGCAATTTCTCTTTAATAAAATACACTTAGAGTCACCTAGATTGCTAAAATCCAGCCTAGCTCTCTAACCTAGGTTTGCTGCTAATAAAGAAGCCTTATAAATTACCCCAATTACAATTTCACAAACAGAGAGTTCGTTTCCACACTTTCAATCAAAACTCTAGCTGGACCAAGGGTGAGATGATGTTAGCTTACAGCCCCTGATGCAGACATGCTAATTACAAACCACAACAGGTTAAAGTGTCCAGCACAAAAGTGATAAATATGGGTGTAATTATGGGTTATTGTAGGAGCTAAATTAGGATATCTGTAATTAGCCTATTTTTCCCAATCTTCATTTAGCAGCTAAAAAATAAAATAGAAAATATTTTAATTTAAAAGACCTTCTCAGCATAGGGTTACTAGAAGAGTCTTAATTACTCATTGATAACTATGAGGTGGAGAAATCATTTCTTTTGTCCCAGTAGTAATAAAAAGCAAGGCTGTTAGCCAAAAACCAATACCCAGCAGGTTTAACCCTGGAATTCAAGTTTCAGGCCACGTAAAAATCTGGGAGTCCTCACCTTTGGTTTAGTGAGGCTTAACCTGCAAACCAGCATCTAACCCTCCAGGGAAAGGTCTTGTTTCTCTTTTCTAGGCTTGGGGATGGCTGAGCACCGCAGAGGAGAGCCTGGGGTATCTGTGCCACCCCAGTTTTCCTGCCCAGCAGATCCCTCCATCTGCTCGGCCATCAGAGGCTGCTTCAGGGATTCAGGGACGTCAGAGCGGGTTTAAACACCAGGGCTCAGAGCTGAGCTTCCCTCTTCCCATCAGCCTTACAAAGGAAAAACAGAGAGAATTGCCAAGTTTCTACAGGTGGGTTTAGAAGTAAAGGGACATGGAGAGGAGTAGGTTCTCATTCAGGTGCCCAGGGTCTAATTAAGTCCTTCTCCTGTTCGTATTTGAAATATTTGTGCTATCAGAGTCTCCTTAAAGCTCTGATGCAAGTGCCTCGGTGCAAGTGGCAGGCGGGTGTGCCGTGCTGTGAAAAGCCCCTCGCTGCCTTGTGTGGGATCTCCAGCCTCTGGACAAGCAAAAACTGCACAAATACTCAGTCTGCTTTAAGGTTAAATAAAATAACCCACTCCCTGATCCCTGTTGGTGTTCTGGGAACAGGGCACAACTCACCTGGAACATATTAGGGTTTTGGGGCACCGTTTTTATTAAAGAAACCCCTCCTGCTAACATCTCTGTGGATTAGGTTGCTCATTTACTGCACTTGAAAACATTTTCCTGTTCGCAAGCTAAACAGATGAGACTCTAAGATTCCTCTCTTTCTTGTTCATTTAGGGGTGAAAAATTGCCAGCAAGAATTCAATTAGCATCATATCTGCTTAGCCCGGACTGTGCTGAGGGCCTTCCTATACCCATACTTGCAGTGCATCGTCTTCACAATAGCAGCATCTGCTTTATTATGA